TACTACTACTACTACTACTACTACTACTACTACTACTACTACTACTACTACTACTACTACTACTACTACTACTACTACTACTACTACTACTAGTCGTATTAGTCGTAGTAGTCGTAGTAATCGTAGTAGTCGTAGTAGTCGTTGGCCGCTGGCTGCAGCCGCCGCGGCCAGGGTGCTCGCTCGCGGAGCTGGCGCGGGCCCCTGCCGCTTGCTGCATTCCGACTGCGGGCGGCACCACTTCTGGGGCCCCTCTGGACGAAGACGGCTACCACGCCTGCACGTGCCAGTCCGGCGTGGGCGTCGTGAGGCGCCCTGGCGACGTGGAGAAGACGTTGGGCAGACTGGCGGCGAGGTGGCGGCACTGCGCGCACCCCTACGAACAACGGGCCTTGGCTTTGGACAGGCGCCGCGCGCGGCGGTCGGCAGCAGGGCCCAGGCCGCTGGTCCTGGAACGCGCCGTGTTGGACATGCAGTAATGGAGGATGACGATGAATAAATGACGGGGGGTCGTGTTCACGCGGCGGCGCCCAGGATGACGATTAGAAAAAACCGGCCGCGGGCTGGACAACTATTTTTGAACCGTTCTCCTCCAGTCAGAAAATTGTGCAGAAATAGCAGGAAACTATTTTTTAATCGTCCTCTCCCATTTTTTTGTCAATCGTCATCCCGCATTACGCGGTGGCGGACGGCCCCTCGCGGGTGGACGTGACGGTCCGCCACCCGGCGGCCAGCGACGAGACGCTGCCCCGGGCTGCGGCGCGACGGCCAGGCGAGATTACGGGCAGGGCCGGCCTCGAGACGCACGAGAGGTGCCCGGATGAGCGCCTGATTGCGTTCGCCATGGAGACCTGGGGCTGCTGGTGCGCAGAGCTTGGGAGCTGGCGCGCCTACACGGCGCTTAGCTGCGCGCTGCACCGCCAGGTGGCTCACCAGCTCGGGCGCGCCGCTGCCGCCGCTGGTTTGTGCTGAGCCGCGAGGGCTGCTGGCCCTGGCCTGGGGCTGTGCTGGTCTGGGCGCAGGGCCAGGTGCAGTGCGCTGAGGAGTTGGCCCCGAAATGGGCGGGGGCGCTGGGCCTGGAGGCGGGCTGGCAGGCTGGACGGCCCGGCGCTGCGAGCTGACGGCGGCCCCTGGCTGGCGGGCCTTCGTGGCTGAACACTCGCGGCCGACTACGTTGTCGTCCTGGTTTCCGCGGTGCTCTTGGGCATGCCATGTCAATGTGCCCTGGCCGGCAGACCCCTTCCCCCTGGGCGTGGCCGTTGTCTTAGACAGCTGGCCGCCCTGGGGGGAGCCGCTCCCTTTGAGGGGCGGTGGGGGTGTTTGCTGGCTCCCGTTCAACGAGTTCCAGCCGCGGGAGAATCCCGCGCGCGCCGCCAAAAGAGGAGGAATATAATGTTGTTGATGATGGTGATGGTGATTATGTTAGGGAATAGGTTGATGGGGCTGATGATGCTGATGGTGATGCTAAGGATGATGCTGATAATGATGGTGGTGATGTTGGTGACGATGACGATGGTGATGATGGTGGTGATGCTGATGGTTTCGATGGTGATGGTGCTGATGCTGATGCTGCTGATGATGCTGATGATGAGGAGGAGGAGAAGGAGAAGGAGGAGGAGGAAGAGGAGGAAAAAGAGGAGCAGGAGGGGGAATATGAAAACATGGTGGACAAGGTGGATGACGTTCATTCCCCTAGCAGCCTGCTTTCCCCCTCTTTCCTCTCTCGCTTCTGCTTCCTCTTCTTCCTCCTCCTCCCCGTTCCCCCCTTTCCTCCTCCTCCTCCTCCTCCTCCTCCTCCTCCTCCTCCTCCTCCTCGAGTTGGCTCGCGCAGCTCAGGGTTGCGAGCTAAGCGGTCGTGGTTTGCCCCGTGCCCGACCGCTGCACATGCCGGTCTTAAGTGACATTTTGGGCTGACGCGATCCTCTAGGACCATGCTCTTGGTTGATCCCGTCCCGGCTGATACGTTGTAAGTGGGAATTCGTGTCGTTCGGCCGGTGGATTTATTTGCCGGGCTTTTAGTTTACGTGGTTGTGCACTGAGCTCGGGCTCAGATATTTCATCCGTTGAAGCAGTGGTGGATCACCTCAAGCATTCAACTTTCTAGGTCCTGCCTGGAGTCTAAGCTGTGTACAGCTTTCGTCGCGCTGCCAGAAACAAATTCCCAATCAGCCTGCTCATCGGAGTGCTGTGTGTGATGGACGCTTGTTCGGGCCCACGGCCAGGCGGGCTCGGACATCCCCAGAAAAGGCGTTGTCCGGGCCGTTTCGCTCTGGACGTCCTCAGGGGTCCCGCTCCTGAATTGGCTGGGGCATGGCGTTTCGCTTGAGGCATTCTCGCAAATCTGAGCTCCGGGACGCTGCGCGCGAGGTGGTCCAGCGCGTTTCGCCCGAGACGCGCTCGCAACTCTTGGCCCCGAGCTGCCGCACGGGAGGTGCTCTGGAATGTCGTGGGGAGGGGGGCGGCAGGGCAGAGGCTGCGGCTGGCCTCCTGATGATTCAGGGCCACGTCTGGTCCTGGTCGTTGTTTTCTTTTGTTTTTTGTTTTCGTTGTGTGGCGTAGTCGGGGGGCAGCATCACAGCCGTTCGGGTTCCAAGCCACCTGCAGTTCATCGAGGGGGTCGTATACGTGCTCAGGGTCAACCTCAGAAGGAGCGTCTGCATCGACAGAGCTGGCAGCAAACTTGAGAACTCCTCCCACACTGGTGCCACACATTCTGGATGGGTACGTCTTTCTTGCAGCTGTCCTGAGATATGCGTCTACACATGTGCCCTGCATTGGCCAGGCACCTCCGGCACCTCTTGGTGGGCTTATTTTCCATCACCACAGCCATCAGTAGGACGGGGAGGGGGTCTTCTTCCTCCTTCTCCTCCTCCTCCTCCTCCTCTTCCTCCTGTTCCTCCTCCTCATCCTCCACCTCCTCTTCCTCCTTCTCATCCTCCACCTCCTTCCCCCATCCAACTTGCCATTGATTTTTTTTGGTTACAGTACAGCTTTAATTGGTTTCGGAAGTATTTCTGTAGTGCGCACTGTATGCAATTACATCAATAATTGTGTCGGGAATTAATAATGTAGGCTCGAAATATTGCCAAGAGCATTTTGGTTATGCATTTCTATTGAGTTGGGAAGTTAGAAAGGAATTCGATAAGGAATTTCCTGAGTTAGAGAGGAATTTGAATACCAGAGATAGTTCTGAACCTCAAAGACAATCGAGTCCGAATTGCCCGAGGAAGCCAGGGCCAGGAAGGGAAAAAGGAGTTAGAAAGGAATTCGATAAGGAAATTCAAGAGTTAGAAAGGAATTTTATGTTTTGGGTTGTTTTGGTGTTTTTTTTTGTTTTTACGACGCCGAGAGGTCTGAGCCAGGAAGGAAAAAACGAGTTAGAAAGGAATTTGATAAGGAAATTCAAGAGTTAGCAAGCAAGGAATTTCGTTTTGGGGGTTGTTTTTTTTGTTTTGCTTTTTTAAGACGCCGGGAGGTCTGGGCCAGGAAGGAAAAATGAGTTAGAAAGGGATTTAATAAGAAATTTCAAGAGTTAGAAAGGAATTTCGTTTTTTGGGGTTGTTTTTCGTTTCGCTTTTTTTTACGACGCCGAGAGGTTTGGGCCAGGACGGAAAAAGGAGTTAGAAAGGAATTTAATTAGGAATTTCAAGGGTTAGAAAGGAATTTTGTTTTTGTTTCTGTGTTGTTTTTTTGTTTTGTTTTTTATGTACGACGCCGAGAGGTCTGGGTCTGGAATTTACGACCCCAGACCTCTCGGCGTCGTGAAACAAAACAAAAAACAACTACCAAAAACTAAATTCCTTCCTAACTCTTGAAATTCCTTATTAAATTCCCTTCTAACTCCTTTTTCCTTCCTGGCCCAGACCTCTCGGCGTCGTGAAAAAAAACAGAACAAAAAAACAACACCAAAAACGAAATTTCTTTTTAACTCTGGAAATTCCTTATTAAATTCCTTTCTAACTCCTTTTTTCCTTCCTGGCCCAGACCTCTCGGCGCGTAAAAAAACAGAAAACAGCCCCAAAAAACGAAATTCCTTTCTAACTCTTGAAATTCCTTATTAAATTCCCTTCTAATTCATTTTTCCTTCCTGGCCCAGACCTCTCGGCGTCGTAAAAAAACAAAGCAAAAAACAATTTCAAAAAAAAAACGAAATTCCTTTCTAACTCTTGGAAATCCTTATTAAATTCCTTTCTAATTCCTTTTCCTTCCTGGCCCAGACCTCTCGGCGTCGTAAAAAACAAAAAAAAAACCACCACCAACAACGAAATTCCTTTCTAACTCTTGAAATTCCTTTATTAAATTCCTTTCTAACTCCTTTTTCCTGCCTGGCCCAAACCTCTCGGCGCTGTAAAAATGAAACAAAAACAACCCAAAAGCAAAATTTCTTTCTAACTCTTGAAATTCCTTGATAAATTCCTTTCTAACTTCTTTTTTCCTTCCTGGCCCTGACCTCCCGGCGTCGTAAAAAACAAAACAAAAAAAACAGCCACCAAAAATGAATTTCTTTCTAACTCTTGAAATTCCTTATTAAATTCCTTTCTAACTCCTTTTTCCTTCCTGGCCCAGACCTCTCGGTGTCGTTTTAAAAAACAAAACAAAAATAATCCAAAAAAGCGAAATTCCTTTCTAACTCTTGATATTCCTTATTAAATTCCTTTCTAACTCCTTTTTCTTTCCTGGCCCAGACCTCTCGGCGTCGTTTTTTTTTTGTTTTTTTTTTTTTTTTTTTTTTTTTTTTTTTTTTTTTTTTTTTTTTTTTTTTTTTTTTTTTTTTTTTAAAAAAAAAAAAAAAAACCAAAAACGAAATTCCTTTCTAACTCTTGAAATTCCTTATTAAATTCCTTTCTAACTCCTTTTTCTTCCTGGCCCAGACCTCCCGGCGTCGTTTCTTTTTTGTTTACAAAACAACCCAAAACGAAATTCCCTTCTAACTCTGGAAATTCCTTATCAATTTCCTTTCTAACTCCTTGTTTTCCTTCCTGGCCCAGACATCTCGGCGTCGTTTTTTTTTTTTTTTTTTTTTTTTTTTTTTTTTTTTTTTTTTTTTTTTTTTTTTTTTTTTTTTTTGTTTTTTTTTTTTTTTTTTTTTTTTTTTTATATATATATATATATATATATATATATATATATATTATATAAAGACCCCAACAACGAAATTCCTTTCAAACTCTTGAAATTCCTTATCAAATTCCTTTCTAACTCCTTTTTCTTCCCCGGCCCAGACCTCCTGGCGTCGTAAAAAAAAACAAATTTAACGCAAAAAAACTGAATTCCTTTCCAACTCTTGAAATTCCTTATTAAATTCCTTTCTAACTCCTTTTTCCTTCCTGGCCCAGACCTCTCGGCGTCGTGAAAAAACATAACAAAAAAACAATGCCAAAAACGAGATTTCTTTTTAACTCTGGAAATTCCTTATTAAATTCCTTTCTAACTCCTTTTTTCCTTCCTGGCCCAGACCTCTCGGCGCGTAAAAATAACAGAAAACAGCCCCAAAATACGAAATTCCTTTCTAACTCCTGAAATTCCTTATTAAATTCCCTTCTAATTCATTTTTCCTTCCTGGCCCAGACCTCCTGGCGTCGTAAAAAAAACAAAACAAAAAGCAATTTCAAAACAACGAAATTCCTTTCTAACTCTTGGAAATCCTTATTAAATTCCTTTCTAATTCCTTTTCCTTCCTGGCCCAGACCTCTCGGCGTCGTAAAAAACAAAACAAAAAACCACCACCAACAACGAAATTCCTTTCTAACTCTTGAAATTCCTTTATTAAATTCCTTTCTAACTCCTTTTTCCTGCCTGGCCCAAACCTCTCGGCGTTGTAAAAAATGAAACAAAAAACAACCCAAAAAACAAAATTTCTTTCTAACTCTTGAAATTCCTTGATCAATTCCTTTCTAACTCCTTTTTTCCTTCCTGGCCCTGAC